GAGAGAGAGAGAGAGAGAGAGAGAGAGAGAGAGAGAGAGAGAGAGAGGGAGAGAGAATATATCACTCTGCCACCATCCATAATGAAGACTGACCTAGTCCCCTAAATATGAGACCTTCCTTAAAAGTAGGCAATGAACAGGGAGGGCTAAAGGTGAATCTCAACTTCAGGAACACAAAGTTTTAGATCTGGGACATGTTCTAGATCCATTCCAGGATGGTTGAATCCAGGATGGGGTGGTTGGACAAGCCATCAGGCCCCCGTCTAGTCTGACCCCCACATTTTCTAGAAGAGCAACTCCTAAATGAGCTATGATTGGCCCAAAGTCACCCAGGATAGAGCTAGACCTGAAGTACAGGTCTCCAGAAGGCTGCAAGCCCTTTTAGAGAGAAGTAGAAGCAATGAATGAAAGTTGAAAGAGGCAATTTTGATAAAGGGACAGGCTTCTTAACACTTGGAAGTATCCAAAAGAGGAATGGGCTGCCTCAGAAAGAAGTGAGTTCTTTCTTATTGGAGGTCTTTCAGCAACAACTGGAGGACTACTTGTTGGAGGTGTTGGAGAGGAAGGAAGGAAGGAAGGGAGAAAGAGAAGAGAGGGAGAGAAGGAGGAAAGAAAGAAGAGAGGGAAAGGAAGAAAGGAAAGAAGAAAGGGAGAGAGGGAGGAAAGAAACAAGCATTTATTAAGCACCTACTATGTTCCAGGCACTGCGCTAGGCACTTTACAAAGATTATCTTACTCGAACCTCACAACAACTCTGGGAGGTAGATGTCATTATTATTCCCATTTTACAGTTGAGGAAACTGAAGGAGACAGAATTGTAAGGTGACTTACTCAGGGTCCCACAGCCAGTAAGTGTCTGAAGTAGGATTTTTTTTAACTGAGGTCTTCTTGAATCCAGACCCAGAGCTATAACCACTGGGTGGTGAAGCTATGTGACAGGCAGGCAGTTTTATGGCCTGAGGAGCTTGGTAGCTCTTGACTCATATTCTGTCATAACAGAAAGGGTGTTAGATATGAAATCAGAGGACCTGGGTTCAAATCCCAGCTCTCCACTTACTGCCTAGGTGACTTTGAAAAAATCACTTTATACTTTTCTGAGCCCCAGTGTCCTCTGTAAAATTGGGGGCTGGAAGTTTGTATAAGATTAGGGCTTCTTAACCTTTTATGTTTTATGGACCCCTTTGACCCAAGAATGTGTTGGAGCCAGCTCAAGAGAGCTGAACATTAAATTTTCAGTGTGAGCATTTATACCTGAGAAACTGGCAAATGCTACAAATCAGGGCGTGGTTTATTGTTTTGTTGATTGTCTAGATTTAAGAAAGTGATGGGAAAATGTTAAAAATGTAGATTAAACTTAAAAGTCTGTTATGCATTTTGGAGAGCTGATTGTTAAACATTGATCAATATACTGCTGCCTTTGATAATTTGGTGAAGCCTATGGACTTTTCAGAATAATGTTTTTTAATACATAAAATACATAGGATTACAAACAATTCTATTAAAAGTAGTTATGAAGATAGTTAAAAAAAATAAGTTCATAGACCCCAGGTTAAGAATCTCTAGGTCAAATGATCTTAAAGATCTCTCCCAATCCTAACTGCTAAGATCCTATGGTCCATTCATACTCGCTTGGTCCAACACAAGAATTCCTTCCCCACCTCCAGGCTTAGGAATGGGACATTCTCCTCTTTGTGAAATTGCGCTCGCTCGTGTTACTCACCTCTCAGTTTTCCCCCAGTGGCAATGGCAAAGTCTTTCTTCCTCATTTCCCTTCTGTTATGTTCTTTTTAAAAACCAAACCAAACCAAACAAAACTTTCTGTTCCCTTGCATTAAATGCAAATGCTTGAGACATCTGTCTTTTTTTGCTCTCCTCTTCTTCCAATTAGAGCAATCTTGGCCTTTAGCCAGGATGCTCCTCAGTCACTTCTCCAAGCATGCAGGGGACACTTGAAGACCTTCCTGTTCTTTTCTCTGTACACAATATTCCATCCCTGACCTTTGGAATTTATACAGGCTGTTTCTCCCCAGAAGACTGGGGAGTGAATCATGCTTTCCAAATCTTGTCAGATAGGTGACAGACTAGAAGTGCACAAATGTTTAAGTTACTGGAGATAAAGAAACAAAAATAAAATAGGAACTTACATCCTACCAGGAAACTCTGGGACAGACCAAATTTTCTAAAATGTCTAGTGATGAAAATAAAGAGAGGATCAAGACAATGATAGAGACAGTATGAGAGTAAAGAGAAGCTTTAAAAACATTTTAGGTTAGTCTTATGTCTTTGCCTATTCTGTCTCCTGGAAAAAAAAAGCCATCCTATGTAGAACCAGGCTTGCCAGTTTGGTTAGTGTTGCTAGGGAATGTGACACATTGGAAGTGATCATGGTAATCAAGCAGACTTTTACTTATTGGTAACAGGACCAGTGACATTTTGAAGAGAATTGGCATTGGAAGAGAATCCTGGGATGAAGAGGGACTTGGAGCAGAAACCACCTTGGCTGAACTGGATCCAAGCAGTAGGAAGGACATTGGAGGTTGTGGGGAGGAGGGTGGTCAAGAGGTCATAAGACAGCTTTGTTTTAGAAATCATATTTATTCTTCAGGTGGAGAAAGTTCAACACTACTGTAAAAATGTTCTATCTGGGAGTAGTACTCTTCAGTCTTTTTCTTCTGTTTCAGACTGAAGATGTATGACTGTACCCACTCGCTTCTGGGGTTGGCACAGATCTGGTGACCTTTATTGGTGAGGAAGCTGGAGTATGAGAAGCAAAAGAAAGAATAAAGAATTTCGCATCAACATTCCTTCCCCAAGACAGCTCTCAAGTCTTTCTACTTCCCATAACCATTGTCTCTACACAAAACTCTAAGACCTTGCCTAAATCACCAGGTGGCACTGTGCATAAAGTGCTGGACCCGGAGTGAGGAAGAAGTATATTCAAATTCTGCCTTTGATACTTACTAGTTGTGTGAACCTGGGGAAGTGACATTGGCCTTAGTTTCTTCAACTGTAAAATGGGGAGTACCTACTTCCTAGAGTGGTGATGATTAAATCAGAGGACGTGTGTAAATCACTTTGTAAACCTTAGAGAACTATAAAAATGCTACTTCTCCTCCTCCTCTTCCTCCTCCTCCCCTTCCTCCTCCTCTTCCTTCTCCTCCTTCAGTGACTCTATGGGAATCCCCTCAGAAAACCCTCCTGGTCTTTACTTTTTCTGCTCTCTCTTCCTTCACTTTTCAATGGGAGCCTGAGAGGCAGTTGTGGGAGGAGAAAGAAGGTTCCATTTGGACTTAGCAGATCTTATTTCATATCCTGGCTCTGCTACCTATTCTCTGAGAGACCTAGGGTAAGTCACCCTCACTGCATGGGGTTTAGTTTCTCCATCTGTTAAATGAAGGGTTGGACAACATGATTTCTTTTTTTTTTTCATCCCTCTCTCTACTATATAATCAGCTCATCTCCTTTTACAATCATAATTTCTTTGATGACCTTTGCACTACTTCATAATCTCATTTGTAATGTGTTACATTTTGCTCATACCCATCATGCACCTCTCCATTGTTCTTTGAATGATTCAAAACTTTAATTCCTTTGGAGTCACACAGCATTACCAGAAGAATGCTGGTATAAGGCCGTTGTGTCAAGAAAAAACTCAAGGTCATTAAAAGATCTTTGGAATTTCCTCAAAGTGGTCCAAACCAGCCCTTCTTCTCTTTTTCAATATTGAACACAGCTCATTGTCCATTTGCAATATCTATCCAAAGTATATCTGCGTGTGTGAGTGTATGTGTGCGTGTGTGTGTGCGTGTGCGTATAGTGTAGACAAACTCAATAGAGATTGATTATCCAACTGGACGATAAGCATTCTTCATCCACTTGATTTTCCCGATTTGGACAGTTAGCAAAACTGTTTTGAGTGACTGTGGATCTCAGTTAAGAGGCTTTGCACTGTTCTAGGCCTTGATGTAATTAGCATTGTCATCCACAAATAGATACAACCGGAAGATTTTACCATCTATGGAGGCAACTGGACAACATGATTTCTAAAGTCCATTTCTATTCTAGATTAAGGATCTTGTCATCTTGCCTGTCCCTCTGCAGAGCCCAGGTCAGAAACCATGGGAGACCCTCCCTAGCTCTTTTTCTTTCTCTGATATGTAGCATTATCACCAGCCCCAAGACCACTGAACACAATAAGTAGAGATTATTTTGTCCTGTAGTCCCGGCATGCATTCCTCCTCCATCACTCCTGCAATCCTTTTTACTTCTAGTGCCTTCCCTCTGTTGATAATTTTCTATTTATCCTGCAAATTGCTACTTTATTTAAATTTGTTTGCATGAATGTTAAAATTATATCTTGTTTTGGTCCCCCTGACTCCCACACCCCCAACCCAACCCTGTCAGTATAGTAAATTTTATAGGGAGTCAGTATAAAGGGGTAATACCAGAAAATACCAGATTGCAAAGGGAAACCTGAAAGTCACATGCAAACTGTCCCAAGGATCAAAGAGCATAATTTACAAATTTTATGATAGATTAACTAAAATTCACATCCTGGTAATATGTATCAAATTAGGGGAAACCAGCTAAGATATTTGTTAAGGTTCTCATCCTCTGTTATGTAAATTCCAGGTGAAATTCAGACCTCTACAGCTCTAGACCAGCAGAATGTCAAAAAGGTGTTGATGACTTTGAGATATAACATTGAAGTTTTACCAATAACTTTGAGATGATTCGGATATTTTAATGAACTAGCCCCAAGTTGGCAAAGAAAGGAGTTAGTCTGTTTCCCTAAAAAACCCTATAAAAATGAGACCTCAAAACTCTTGCCCCTCTCCTCCCAAGTCGTCTTCCCTCTCCATTGGGTCTACATTGCCCGGTGCTCCCAACTCTAATCCAATGTTACGTGGGTGCTTCTCTCTGCTTCTCCCCCTCCTCATGCTCTTCCCCACACTGCCTGCTTCACTTCACCATCCCATCTCCTATTCCCACACTGTTTGCCTCTGTACCTCTTCCATCAGTTGTCTGTGTTTTTCTGTGCTTTTTGATCCTCTGTTTAAATGAAGTGTGATCGCCACTCTGTTTCTCACTGCCAATCATGGTCTTTCCTGGCAAGTACCCAAAGAACCAGGAGTTTCTGCCCCTATTTCATACTTGCATAAATTGATGATCAATTCAGCTTGTTTGTCTCCCCCATTAGACTGTGAGCTTCTTGAGGGCAGGAGCTATATTTTGACTTTCTTTGTATACCCAGCACTTAGCACAGTGCTTAGCACGTAGTAGGCACTCAATAAATGCTTATTGACTGAATGAATTAACAGTGGCACAAAGTTCAGCCTCAGTTCACCATCTGACCTCCCAGAGGGATTGCTTCTCCTCCTGAATCCTTCCCTACTCCTCCCTGCACACTCCTTATCTCCTTTTCTCCAGATAGAGGCTATGGAAGTGCCACTCACATGACGCCTGGCTTTGGGCAAAGGCTGCTGGTCTCGTAGAAGTCTACTACAAGTCTGTATGGGATCTGGCGGCGGGCATAAGTGTGGCAGCAGGCATTTGGAATGTCATGTTTAGCTGTAAGGAAAGAGATGACATGAGGATGTAACACCTTGAATACAGTGAGTGCCACTTGATTCTTCTAGCTCCTGAGACAGTCAGTGAAGGTTCTGCATTTCTTGTAGGAAAGACATGGGAAGACCAAGGCCCACATTTCTCCCTTCTCTTCCTCTATCTCCTCCATCTCCTCCTTTTGTCCCTAATTTTATTTCCCTTTTTCTCTCCTCCTTTCCCAACAATTCCTTTCTGTTTCTCCAGGATATTGGACTGTGATGGTCTAGCAAAGGGGACTAGAGGTTCAATGTGGACCATAACAGGCCCACTATTAGAGGAGGGTCCATCACCCAGAAGAACCTTGAACATTCCCCGAGAGGACTTGACTAGGAGATAGGAAAACTATAGGACTTGATTAGGTCTCTAATTCTTGAGAGTTATATCATCTTGGGCAAGTTGTTCTCTTTCTGTGTTCTAATCTGTAAAACGGGACTATAATCCATGGTACAGTTGAAAGAATACTAGATTAGAAGTGGGAAAACCTGGTTGAAAATCCCAACTTTGTCTCTTACTATATTTGTGACTTTGGACAGGTTATAATCTCTCTGGGCCTGTGAAAGGTTAAATAACTTGCCCATACTCATATAGCTAGTGTGTGTCAGCTTGAACACGGGTTTTCCTGAATAATGTTGTCACAAAAAAATTGGCCCTCATTTCATGGAGAACTTTGGAGTTCAGATCTGGTCTTAGACACTTTCTGGCTGTGTGACCCTGGGCAAGTCACTTAATTTCTGTTTGCCTCAGTTTTCTCATCTGTAAAATGAGGCTAATAATAGCATCCAGCTTCTGTGGGTTATTGTGAGGATCAAATGAGATAGTCTATAAAGCTCTTTGCAAACCATAAGTACCATGTAAATGGTAGCTATTTTTAAAGTGTGCTGTGTCCCCAAGGTGACCAAGTCTATATGCTTTATTAATAAATATAGGCTCCTAGTACTTTGGATATACTCCTTTGTGGTAGATTTAGGGGAGGATATGGACAAGAGTCACAAAGGACAAGCAGGCATGGATGGATTGTGGTCTTCTTCATTAGAAAGAGTGAACGCATCATGGAGATCATAGATTCATTGGAGTATTGAATATGAATTTAAAGTTTTACAGTTTATGAGATTCTTTCACAGAATTACTTCCTGGTCATCTCATCACATCCCTCTGAATGTCTTATTTTCCTTTCCTCCTTCATAGCTAGGTAGCTCAATGGATAAAGTGCTAGGCCTGGAGTCAGGAAGACTCATTTATCTTCCTGAGTTGAAATCTGGCCTAAAACACTTGCTAGCCATGTGACCCTGGTCAAGTCACTTAACTCTGTTTGCCTCAGTTTCCTCATCTGTAAAAAGAGCTGGAGAAGGAAGTAGCAAACCACTCTAGTATCTCTGCCAAGAAAACCCCAAATGGGCTCATGGAGAATCAGACACAACTGAAAAAAGACTTAACAACAACAGCTCCTCTCTGTGTGTTGTCTTCTGATTAGTAGGTAAACTCCTTGAGGGCAGGGACTGTCTTATTTGTATTTGTTTACCTAGCACTTAACACAGTGCCCAACACATAGTAAGTGCTTAATAATCTAGCTATCTAGCTATCTCATTTCATTTAATCTTTTTCACACACAAGAGGTAGGTAGTATGGAGAATTCTTATTACCTCCATTTTACAAATGAGAAAATTGAACTTCAGAGAGACTTACCATGAATCACACAGCTAGTAAGTGATGGTGCTGCGACTCAAACTCAGGGTGTTGGTCAGCCCAGAGCACCCTGAGTCTGGACCTTTGATCCCTGATCAGAGTTTCCAGGGGTTATGCTCTCCCATATTGGGAAAAATATAAAGGGCAACTCCTCGCATGTACCCCAGGGTGGGCTGATCTATCTCATGCCACTTTCCCAAGATCCAAAGAGCTGTATTTAGAGGGAAATGGGAGAAGAATCCCCTACTTTTTCAGAATTAAAAGGGAGGAGAAAATCCTTTGAGAACAACCCTAAGTTCATAGCAGCCCAGGTAGTTTTGTCAGGGATGATTGCCACAGGTCTCGTGTTCATGATTAGCCCCTGACATTCCTGGCTTTTTCTTCACAAAGAGCTGGTCAAAAGGAAAGAAAGTAATCAGACTCACCAAACATCTCAGTTTCAAAGCAGAAACCAGGTATTAGAATGATGAGAATGAAGAAGACAGTCAAAGAAACCATGGTCCTTGGAGATGGGAGGAGAGCACTTTCAGGAGCATTCCCAAGGTTCCCAGTATGCTTGTTCTGACAGCTCTGAAGCATAGGCAGGGATCCTCCTTTTTATAGACAGTGATGGACCAGAAGGAACAGGGTGAGAAAACCTTCTCAAACTAAGTAGGAACAAGATGTGGTTCTTTGAAAGTACTGATGGTGGCACAATTTTCTGAAATAAGGGAAGTGAGATTGGAATGAATGAGGAAGTAGAAGACTGAGTGATGACTCTGGATTTCCAGATCTGGACATGGCTAGATCAAATCATGGGGGAATGTGAATGAATGAGTGTGTGTGTGTGTGTGTGTGTGTGTGTGTGTGTGTTATGTGTGTGTGCCATTTACTCCATCTTTAAAATTTGAATCCTTTCAGAATGAGACCTTTCTCAGAAGTGGGCCATGAATAGAATGGGCTGAGTCAGAGATGAGCTAGTAAATGTTTAATAACTAGCTCTCCAAAAAAATGTATGAAGGACACATTTTTAATCTTTTTTCTATCACTTTCTTAAGTTTAGAAATAAACAAAACAATAAATCAAGCCCTAATTTATAGTATTTGCCAATTTTAGGAGGTATAAATGTTCATGCTGAAATTTAACAATTGGCTTTCAGGAGCCCAGAATAGCTGGCTCCAGCATATCACTGGCTGAGGGGAATAGTGTCAGTTTAAGGCTTAAAATATTAGAATTTGGACATGTTTCTGACCATTCCAGAGAGAGGCAGAGGAGAATATGGGGTTGTAGATGCATTTTGAGGCTGAATCACGAAGACTTGAATTGTAATCCCCCTTCAATTATGTCCTAGCTGGTGACTGCAAGCAAATCACTTACCCTCACTTAGCCTCAGTTTACTCATCAGCAAAATGGAGATAATAGGGACACTTTACTGCCTATTCTTCTCGTCTTGAGGTCAAATGGCAACTCTGTCCAAGGCAAAGCCACTTCCTCTGTTGTAAGTCAAGAACTGTAGGAGGTGGGAAGGAAAGAAGACACAGAGAAATCCCAAGGCCTAGGCAATGGGTTTGGAGTCCTGATTGTCCCAGAACTTATCTTTGTTGCCAACTCAAGGGTTCTGTATACATTGCAATTCCTCATGGTAAAAATGCTGTACTATGAATGGAAAAAAATTGATAACCACTGATATACATCTTTTTTTAAAAAAAAAAATTTTTTAGGCAATTGGGGTTAAGTGACTTGCCCAAGGTCACACAGCTATTAAGTTTTATGTGTCTGAGGCCGGATTTGAACTCAGGTCCTCCTGAATCCAGGACCAGTGCTCTAGCCACTGCACCACCTAGCTGCCCCATGAAGAAATTTCTTGAGAAAGTCCAGATTGGCTCATCTTCCTGCCCCCTTTCTCTTCTTCCCCAGAGTTTTAGCCAGTTGCTCCTGACCCTGTGGAAATGTGGATCTCTATGGGACAATCCCTTGCTTTCTTAATTTTTACTAGAGATTTTCCTTTCTCTATTTCATGTCATATTTCTGGATCTTGGGTCTCTTTCTCCAGAATCATAGAATGTTTAAGTGAGGAGGGCCTTTGGGGGCCATCCAGTCCAAACTTTTCTTTTTATGGATGAGGAAAATGAAGTTCAGAGAGGCCTGTGACTTGTCCAAGGTCACATGGGGAGTTTAGACCTGGTTCTTGCAGGTTTTTTGGCTCTCCCAGGACAGTATGTGAAAGTCATGTAAAAGTGTGCCCCATTTAGACTTCAGAAGGTCATGAGAAGCAATACAAAGGCATTGAAAAATAAAGGGGAAGTTTTTTTGGATGTTAAGCAAACATTCCATGTCCCAGAAAGGGTCTGAGGCTTGGCTTACTTAACTATGTGTGATTAGGAGCAGCAAAGATGATGAATTTGGGACAGTACATAGCTGGCTTCCATTCCTTTGTTTCTAGCTACCCATCTGCATGAGGCTTGCCTGGAACCTGGGAAGGGAATAGGCATTGCAAATAACCCAAAGGAATCCTGACCTGACATGAGAGGCAGATTTTGAGCAGGAAGGCCAAAATGGCAGCTCTGTCCAGAGCAAAGCCACCTCCTTCACTGAAAATCAAAAACTCTAGGAGGTGAAAGGGAAAGGAGACATAGAGGAATCCTAAAGCCCAGGCAATGGGTTTAGAGTCCTGATTGTTCCAGAGCTTATCTTTGTTGCCAGCTTAAGCATTCTGTCCGTTGCAACTCCTCGTGGTGAAGAATGCTGTGACAAAGAGAGGCTTGATCTCTTCCACCACCTGCTGCTCGGAGGTGACAAACCTCAGAGATGAGGCCCAAGGCTTCTGTTAATTTCAGGCTAAGTGTGGTTGCCCTTACTGAAACAGCAAAGTGGTACTCTAGCTGAGAAGAACATGGTGACCCCCAACCCAGTCAGAGGTTGGAGGAGGTAGAGCCTGCAGCTGCCCATTGAAGAGTGAGCCCAGGGAGGCCAATAGCTCATCAGAGACACCATGTCCCCTGAAGAGATCCTAGGCATGCTCAGACTAGTGCGGCAGCTGCGACTCAGCAGCCAAATGACTAGCTATGCCCACACCAGTAGCAGCTCTGCTGAGCAGACAAACTACCTCCCTGGTCTGTCCCAGCAGCAGAAGAGCCTACTGATGGTTTGGTTCAACAACTGAACAACCTGCTTGGCCCACCCCAGCAGTGGATCAGCCCATCTAGTTGAGACACTGCTCTCTGTGAAGAACCATTCTACTGTAACAGCAAAGTGATTGGTACATCACTAATACCCTACCTTGCAGTAAACTTTCTAGAGAAAGAGTATCAAGGTCCTACTATTGCAGAGTTGTGAGTTGCATTGATCATGCTTATTCCACATTGTGTTCACTACCATTGTCCTTTAATTTTGTGACTATTCTTCCTTGCCTCCACCACCCTCCCCAGATCTCTGCTGACTCTGGATGAGAGAAAATACTCCCAGATTTGTTGTGCTTCATAATTATTCCTCTTGCTAGGCCATCTGAGTAAATGCCTTTTCTAAAAGCCATTTGAGTCTGCTGGCTGATTGTTAAGGGGAAATACAATGATGAGAGCTCATTAGCTGCAGGGTTAGGAGTAGTCACATGTAGGATTACCTCTAGAGCTTGGGGTAGCTATTGCCTTTCTGGGGATACAATCCACCAGACCCAGAGTGAGTCAAGGAAGTGAGCCTGGAACTGGTGCTACAGTTTCAAAGAGGTAAATTTATGTTTGATGTAAAGGTCAATCTTCTTAACAATTGGAGCTATTCCAAAGTGGAGGAGTATATCTCATAGAGTGGTGAGTTTCCCTTTGATGGAGGTCTTCAAAGAAAAGCTTTAGTCTTTGTTGGGAATACTGTAGTCAATATTCTTGATGAGAAAAGGTGGGACAAGATGGTCCCAGAGGTCCCTTAACATTCTCAGATTCTGGAATCATGAACTTATCTCTTCTATATTGGCCTAGGCTTTCTGGGCTATTGATTTTCTGTAAGTCCGTAGCCAAATCAGGGGACTTCCAGAATATCTGATCTTCTAAGGTGGTCCTGTCTGATTCTTGAATACAAAGACAAGTTCCTGAGAATCCTGACCTATTTAGCCAATGAATCTTGGCTCTTGAGATGGAAGACACCTTCAAGTTCGTTACTCCCACCTTTTATTTTAAAGAGGAGGAAGGCAAGCAGCTTACTGGTCATGTAACTAGCTAGGAGCAGAGCTGGGATTTAAATTTAGGTCTTCTGATTCTGAACTGAGCAGCTAGGTGGCTCAGTGGACAGAGTTCTGGGCTTAGAATCAGAAAGTCCTGAATTCAAATCTGACCTCAGACACTTACTAGCTGTATGACCTTGGATAAGTCACTTAAGCCTGTTTGCTTCAGTTTCCTCATCTGTGAAATGTGCTGGAGGAGGAAATGGCAAACCACTCCAGGATCTTTGTCAAGAAAATCCTACCTGTGTCTTCTAAAGAGTCTCCGGAACCACCCATGTCTCTTTCCCATGAAGCCCTGACCCAACTCTACCCCTTATACAAGCATGCAGCATTGGCTCAGTATTCTCTCCATCAATGAGGAGTTTTGTATCCTTCTATACACAACACAAAGCAAAGGCTGCTCATCTCCTACCTTGGTGAGGGGAGCCTAGGACACAAAGGACAAAGTGTTTAGGGGTTCAGACTTCCCTCCTTTTTCCATCTAATTGTGTTTCCCTAACATCTCCATCTCTAACAGGCAGAGTTCTTGATTTTTTTCAGACACACAGATAAAAACCAAACTGAGTCCTATTAAGTCCAACATAAGCTTATTTTTGAGAAATCATATATTTCTAGGGAAGTGTTATCTGAAAATGGTGTGCTATAGTCTTCATGAGGATTTCCTCTGGTAGTAGGGAAATGCCACAGTCTGTGACATTCCCTGGGTGGACACAAAACTGGCACTGTGTCTTTGTGATGACACTGCAGTGCAAGAAGAAGAAGGATAGAGGAGATGAAGAATTCAGCTCTGGGATTCTCTTCTCCAAAAGAGCTCACAGACTTCCCTTTATCCACATCTATCCCCATACAGTGTTTCAAGACCTTCCCTTAATCTCTACTTCTATTCTCTCTATGACTCCATGGGGGTCCCTTGAGAAAACCTTTCTGGTCTCTCCTTCCTCTTCTCCCTCCTTTTCCCTTTTCAATAGGAGCAGATCCCATTTGGAGGCTAAGTGGAAGACATGCCCTGTGAGAAAGAGCACTGGGTTTGGAGTTAGAAGACCTCGATTCAAAACTAGCTACTGTCTCTTACTACCTGTGACCTTGGGCAAGATTCTCCTCCTCTGGGTCTCATTCCTTTCATGTTTGAAATTGACCATTGAGTTTCCTTCTGGCTCTAAATCAATGTTTCTATCATTCTACCTGGACTTATATAGGGTCCAGCTCAGGTCAAAATCTACAGGGGTTCTTCCTCAGCTCTCTCTTTCCAGCCCCAACACCAGTCTCAAGGCCAATAAGTAGAGCTTATTTTGTCTAGGAGTTTTGGTGTGCATTCCTTTTCCATACCTCCCAAACTTAGCAGGGGCACAAAATTCTATGAACCATCTTTCTCTAACCTCTATCTATCATCCGGCCTCCCTGAAGGACTACTTCTCCTTCCCAAGACCTTCCTGGCTTCTCTCCAGCA